ATCGAGAGAAACCGAGAGAAACCGAGAGAAGTCGAGAGCGCTTGTTGAGTAAGACCTCAAAAAGTACCTCGGAGACCTCAAAAGTTAACTCGGAGACCTCAAAAGGTACCTCGGCGGCCATAGAAAACCGAGAGCAAACCGAGAGCAAATCGAGAGCAGTCAACTCGGGCTATACTTGTGATCGGGGGATTAGCTGAGACCTTGGAAAAATTTGAACCCTGTCAACAAGGAGGTTGGAGCTGGGTTGCTGCTGGTATTTGTTCTCTAACTAGAAGTGTTGGGTTTTGTGCATCTTCAGCCTGTGACTGGTCAAACGTTTTTCCATCGTTAGTTCGGCCTTGGACCTTTGGTTGGGGAAGCATGGTCTTGGATGCGGCTCTGGCAGCAATGCTGGAAAAGGGAAAGAAAGAAAGCAGCCAGCTCTATGCAGCTCGCGCATCCCCAATTTCAGTTGCCAAAAGCTATGTCTCATAGATCGTTCCTTTTCAGGTCCGGGACCTCAAAAGGTACATGTTTTAGCCATTGCCGAGGGTGTACCTTGTAGGGTCCTGAGCCCAAGCAATTCCGAGGACCTCAAAAGTAAGGGTCCTGGACTCACAGGGTTATATATTGATAAACCCCTGTAATGCATATAATATAAATCAGGATTCTGGGGCTGGGTTTTAATTTTTGAGGGTTTCTGGGTGTTAAAATTGGTTTTTGAATGGTGCAGGATAGATATCAAAATGGTGTTGGCTCAGCACTATTTGTTAGTGGTGTTTTATCCAATTCTGCTCTGGTTTACATATGCGTGGTTTATTCAGGCAAACCCCGTCCAGGTCGGCCTAGGTCCGCCTAAGTCTGCCCAGGTCAATCCCAACACCCAGGTTCTCCCACAGGTTCTCCAAGGTTCTCCCAGGTTCTCCCAGGAAATTAGTGATTTCCTGCGATTTTGTGGGTTTCCGGGATTTCCTGGGAGGAACCTGGGTGTTATTTTCTGCGATTTTGTGGGGTTTGTGGGATTTCCTGGGTGTTCTTTTCTGCGATTTTGTGGGGTTTCCGGGATTTCCTGGGAGAACCTGGGTGGAAATAGTTGGGGGTGGGCCTGGGAGAGCTGCAAGAGTTAGTTCGGGGAAAAGTGGCTGGAGGGTGGCCCGCTATTTTGACCCGCAATTTCTAAATTTCTGCCGCGGGCGTTGCCGCCCCCTTTGGCCTGCAGGTTTGCCAAGCTTTAAAGTTTAGTTATAAGCATTACAGGGGTATAGCAAGTTATATAATAAATATAATTTATCGATAATACACTTTATTTTAAAAAAAATAATGCGTATACTTGCTTTGTTGCGTTTAGTTGGGGGGAAAGATTTCTGGAAGTCGGTGCGTGTTGCGTCCAGCATTGATATTTTTATGTGCGTTTTTGTAGGTTCGGAATTTCTCTAATGTATTAGTTTTATTGGGAATTGGATTGTGTTGGGTTTTCCTCTTTTGTAATTTGGAGATGTGGTTATATTAAAATAATGAGGGGGATTGATGACGAGGATTTTTTTTTTAATTTTAGGGTATTATTGGGGTATTGCTAGAGTATTGTTGTTTGGGGTTTGTCGGGAGGAGGG